ACTCTACCCTTAGGAGAGGGAGGCTAGGTGAGCACCTTCCAGAGTGACTTAGCCAAGGGTCCTGAGCTCCGAGTGGCTGCTGGGGAATGACCTCTTTCTCTCCCTCCTCTCCCTTTCAGGGTTGCTGAGAAAGAGCCCATCAACAAAATGTCACTTCACAACCTGGCTACCGTGTTTGGCCCCACGTTACTGAGACCCTCAGAAGTGGAAAGCAAAGCACACCTCACATCAGCTGCAGACATCTGGTCCCATGATGTCATGGCACAGGTATCACCAGCACTGCCCAGGCCTACGGTGGAGGAGGGATAAGTCCCCTACGGGTAGAGAACAGCTCAAAGCCCCCACTCTTCTCCCTTCATGGGAAGCTGGGTTGATGGGGAGGCAGAGCTATGAACAGTCCTGCCCCTCCCATGCCAAAGCAAAATGTATGAGCCTAGACAGGGGCACAGAGGATCTCCCAGGTGCTGGCTACATTCCCAGGAGTACCTTGGTCTCAGAGGACAAGTTCAGCAGTACAGGAATATTCTAGGGGTCTGTCCTCATGCATGGACGCTCTGAGGTTGCTTCCAGGGTCAGGAGGCTTCCCTGGAATACCTGTGAGACCCAGGTCAGGGGCCCATCCGAGGCAGGGCTGCTAAGCCAAAGCCAACCTCAAGATCAGGTTTGAAGCTTAAGACTTAGGAAGTGGCCCCAGGCTCCCCTACTGTCTGCCCTGCAGCGCCCTCTACTGCTGCAACAGGGCAAACAGCTGGGCTGCCAAGAAAGGGGCCATGGCCAGAACCAACCTGGGAAGTAAGAGAGGCAGCGGAGACTTGCCCCGGCCCAGGGACCATTTCTTCTCAGCAGAGTAGATAAGGAAGGCTGGGAGGACAAGGACCTCAGCCTCAGTCTCCCTGTCTCCCCACAGGTCCAGGTCCTTCTCTACTACCTGCAGCACCCCCCCATCTCCTTTGCAGAACTGAAGCGGAACACACTGTACTTCTCCACCGACGTGTAGCCCAAGGCGGGGGCAGCTGCCGGGGGCTGGCCAGAGCCAGCCTCTCCGGCCAGGGGCCTAACACAGACTTGAAAGACTGCAATAGAAAACTCCCAAACCCAGCACTCCAGACTCCGAGGGAAGCAGACTTCCAAGAACTGGAATATGTGCATCTTTTGTGCCACCTTGTACAAAGCCAGCTGACCAGCCCCAGCCTCACCGCCACACCCTGGGCTCCTGCCCTCTGTACCTCTAGTTGTGTCTAATGCTCCGTGTTGTTTGGGAATTGTTCTATGTATATTTGTCATGCAGAAAAGGTAGTGACCGACTCAGTGTGGGCACACAGACAGCCTGCTTTGTTCTTTCATTTCCTCCAACACTTTCTTTCCTCCCGAGTCCCGTCCAAGGGCTTTTATTTTGCGCTGTATAACTGCTGCCAGCTTCTCCTCTCTTGGCCCTGCTCCCAGATTGCAGTCTCCTGGCAGCCTCCCCTCGGTTCCCTCCACCTTCTCCTCCTTCCCAGCCTGCCCGTGTGCATGTGCAGCTTCGGTTTTCGCTCCATCACCGTGAAAGCTCTGAAGAGGCCCCGGGTGGCGGTGGCGGTGGTAGCCCGTCTGCTGCTGCCACCGCCTGCGGTCCCGGCCCTCTCCTTGCCCCCACCTGTGGAAGCACATTTGCTTTGCCTTGCTGCCTGTGCAAATGTTGGACAAGGAGACGGACTCACACTAATCCTCAGCTTAGCACAAAGCTGGAGAGCTCATTTCTGGAATTTTCCATGAGAGAATCTCCATTTCTGGGGTTTATCTGCTATGTCTCCTGCCTACCAGTGAGGCACCTTTGACTGTTTCTTCTACTGCTTTTCAGTTCCTTTTCCCCTGGTGTTCTATTTCCTTTGAGTGTGAAGACTCACAAGTGACCTGCTAGCAAGACAGTCAGAGTCAGGAGAGAACCTGGGGGAGGTGGGGAGGGGCAATCAGGCTGCTGAGGAACGAGACAGGGTGAACAGTGAGAGCAACAGCAGCGGCGCTGGGTGTCCTGAGCTGTGGGGGCACACTCTGAGAAGCAAGTTGTCGTGGCTTTTCTCGTGGAGCCAGGCTTCCTGGAGGGCAGCTAGTATGGCTAAAGCAGGTGTCCAGAAACAGGCAGGCTCTACCCAGGAGGCCACCTGGCACCTCAGTACCTCGTGGTGCTCTTGCCTTAGACTTTACATTCTCTACAACCAAGCACTGCCACGTATACTCCAGGACCTGGGAAAGAAAGGCACAGTCCAGTAGCCAGCTGTCATGGTGCTGCCCCCACCCCACCCATGGCTTCTGGATGTAGGTTTTAAGTGAATTCTGGGAAACTCCAGAAGCTGGAGCACAAGGATTCACAGGCACCTCTTGGGACCAGGTTTTGCAAGGGGCCTGCCTTGTTGACACTGTACTCCTGAGTAGGGGATCAGCAGGTTCCAGTCTCAACTTGGAGAACCACTGCTCAATACTGGAAAGGAGTGAGTATTCCCAAAGTGCAATTTCCCTCTGAGCAGCAGCTGTGAGCTGTGGCAATCTGCCTAGGAGGGCAGACACTCCAGTGACCAGGGCTTGTTTTTCAGCACAGCTCCTGGCCTCTTCCATGTGGCAGAGAGTAGATTCTAGGCCCTCAGGACTGGGGAGAACAGCTCTCTTGCTGTACTCAGGGCTAAGTCTTGGAGAAGGGCTGCTGGCCCTATAGCTGTAGTGCTTGCTCAGTGAGAGGCAGGGTCCTTTCTGATCCTGTGTGTACCTTTTGCCTTCAGCAGAACAGTGTATATTCTGTGCACGTCGGAATACTGACCACCCAGCTGCCAGTTAGCAGCTGAGCAAGAAGCCCTGCTCCCTGGGACAGGAGGTGAAGGGGAAGGAATGTCACTTGGATCTAAATCCAGCATCTGACCACTCCTGAGGTCTAGTTGGCACTCAGGTGTTGGTGTGTGGCATGGAAGGCTCTTGCTTGCTTCCAAAGTGATTGACAGTAATGAATTAGAGGCCCAGCAGAGCTAGTTACAGTCCAAAGGTGCCTCCCACCTTCTAAACAAGGAATGTTTGCTTCTCAGCATCAGGGAGCCCTGCAGCCCATAAGCTTGCCTAGGCAACATGAGAACAGGAGCAAGGCTGGAAGGGCCAAGAAACGCAAAAGGCTCATATTTATAAGTTCTACCCCAGAGTGGGAAGGGTCGAGTGCCAGACCTGGACTAAGCTATACCAAGGAAATACCTGGTGGGTTCTCCTGAGAGACAGGGACTGTGCAGCCCAGAACTCCCAGTTTGCCCAGCAGGGTGGGCTGTGCCAACAGGAGCCCAGGACAGGCTGCCGGAATCCCAGGTATGCCTATCCTTGCTGGGCCATAGCTGATGGCTGCCGGTTTTTTGCTGGTACAGGTAGGATGGGACCCTTCATTAATATTTGACATTAATAAGTTGGTAAGGATATATTTTTTTTGTCTATGTTCTGTTTCAATTTATGTAGATTATTATAAATTGATGTAAACCATGTGAGAGAAAAATGTTAATAAAAAAAAATGCAAAGCCCCAACATTTGCACAAAACTCATCCCTGTGGTGTGGATGTTTGTGTTCTCAGTAGTCCAGGGAAGACCACCAATCTAAATATTTAACTCTTCCAGCTGCATCCAGATGGGAGTTTCCAGGAATCTATTTACCTAGTTCACTCTCTTGAGCCTCCCCTTTGGCCCCTGGGGAGGGGAACAGAGTGTGGGGGAGGTGAGCCCAAGCCCTGTCCTCGCCTCCTTCCAGGTCAAGCGCCAGCCAGGCAGCTTGTGGTCTCGCCTTCTGCGTTTGCTGCTACAGTTCCTTTCACCAAGTACAGAAGTCTCGCCAGGGACCTGGCCATCAATATGCTATGGGGAGATAACAGGAAGCTGTCCGTTGCAGAAGCTGCTTATTTTATGTAGACTGTTCTCTGCATTTTCCTTGGAAGTGGCACATCTTTGGGGCAGCCTTTGGTCTAATCTGCCTGTTGGAGAAGCTGGATCCCCCACAGGACCCACCCTCCCTTTGGGAGAGCCAGTGGGGTTAATGCAGCCTCCCTCCAGCCTAAGCCATTGGACACTGAGTTTATTCTGGAGATCAGGAACAGATGTCTCTGAACGTTGCTGTTTGGTTTATGAGCTCATGCTGGCTTCCCAGCCATCTAAAACAGGAAACTATTCATCTCCTCTCTTGATTGAATAGTCAATGTGGACAATGCTTGGCTTATTGAACTGATGGCTACTGACAGCCTCTGGGCTCTTCTTTTCCAAGGCAGTTGTGAGGGCAGCATTTCTTGAGTTCGGTCCCATGTGCAAGACCAGCTGGTAGATGATCCCAGGCATCCGAGTACTTTGACAGTACCAGGTAGGAATGTCTGACCACCCTTGCTTCAAAGTGCTTATAGGTGGGATGCATTTGGGAACAGTAGAGGAAACACGCCTAAATTTGTTCTTAGAGCTCTTGGGAATGCTCCAACTGGCCCAGCGGTGATAAAGCCTTGTGGCTGTGCAACTGGGAGGGGCATTATATAGAACTCACCATAGAAGGACAAGAGCCCTGTGCGCTGGCTCACAGTCATCCCAAGGAAACGGCAGACACAGCCAGAGGAAGGTGTTACCAGCTGGGTTTGACATCATCACTCACATACAAATAAACACTTGGGGATGCCAGCCTGTTTAAACTGAGTCTTTAAATTCTAGTTAAGAGTGGGTGGGCTAGAAGACAGAGCAGATGAGGAAAAAAGGAAAATAAGAAAAGGCAGAGGAATTACTATGCAGTAGATAAAAGGAGACTCATTGCCACTGGCTGAAGGTGGCTAGAATTACATGGCCCCCACGGAGCCTACCTGCTTGCCCTCCACCCAAGAGCAAAAGCCTGCTTTCATCAACTTTCTCTCTCCTCCAAAGCACCACAGCAAAGCAGTGCCAGTGGGGGAGCCCAATTGTGAACGATTATTTTTTTTAACTTATAGCACACAATTAGGCCAAGTTGCTATTGTCAGAAAAAGGCCATGAGGTCAAGTCAAAAACATTAACATGTTAAAATAAACACAGGAGAACAAGGGCCCCTCAACAACATCTGATCTCGACACCACCAGTAGCTGTGACTGAGTCATCAAGATGACCACACAGGAGGACTCTTCACACAAGTGTCCTTGAGCTGGGCCTGGTTCAGTGGCCAGAGCACGAAAGTAAAGTGTGATTCAGCAAACTGCAGGCAAGCCTATCAGCCAGCCCGCAGGAGGGCTTCTTAGTAGAGGCCAACAGGGTCTATGTGTGGAATTTCAATGCATCCCAGGAAGGGGCTATGCAAGGTTTCTTTTGGGAGAGGCCCCAGCTGACCTAACAATCTTGGTGAGGATAACACATTACTCGTAATCTGACATTCCCTGACTTCTCAGGAACTTTCTCTTTCCCTTTGGATGTTCAATCTTTGAGCCACCTGGCACTATTTTTGGAATTGTGGAATTTAAAAATAAACCAGCATTTAAACTGTTATATAAATATATATATATTCAACAAAGATGGCAGAATGCTAAACAAATAACATAATTGGTCGGAGGGCATAAATTTACCTTACCCTGCCCTGGTATGCAAGATGAATGGCTGCATGAAGTTCCAAGGTAGGATGGCTTCCTGGGTATATGCAAAGATGCAGTCACCTCTGGCCCACAGCACCGAACAACCTAGAGGGCCAGTTGTGGTCAGGACTGAACCTTTGTGCAGCTTCATTCCTACAAGTCAACACATTGTCTCCTGATCTGCTCTAAGGAGAGACTCTGACTTGGCACATCTCCTGTCAAGCCTGGCTAGAGTCCAGGAGAGGACAGTGTGGCTGCTCTGAAGGCTGGAGGCAGACAGCCAGGCTGCTTCCTCACAACACAAACTATGTGAGGGAGAACAAATGTCTTCAGTCCCTGAAGCAAGGGCCCTGGAGCGGTGCAGAAACCGTCCTCCAAAGAACAGCTCTGATCCAGGGCTGGCGTCATCCTTTGCTGCGGGCAATTGCTCTCACCGTAGGTAATAATCGATTGCAGCAGAGAAAGCAGCGAAACCTCCACAACCAATGGCCCCAGCCTTTACGCCAGCTGTAAAGCAAACAGAAATAACATTACCTGTGGTGACATGGGCTGAGTCAAGCTTCATTCACGAAAGGTTTGCACATCCACAGATGTTAAAAAAAAAACACAACAGCTTAAGCATTCTAAGTCACTCAGCCTATCACAGTTCTCTAAGACTTCAAGGAAGCAAAGCATATGATTTAATCCAGTGTATTTTATCTAACTGTATGTTTGTTTAGCTTTTCTCATTCAAGGAATTAAAATTTCCAATCTTATGGAAATAGCCCCTCACAGGCAGGAAACTGGTTAAGAGAACCAGCCCTTGGAATCAAATGAAAGCATATGGCCTTTTACCCTGATTTGTTTATGGAATAAATTCCTGGGAAGGTGATCAAAGCGGTCCTGGAGAGAGCTGAGTTTCTCAAGGAGGCCCTGACAAAGCTGAGCAAAGGGAAGACCAAAAGAGAAGTTACTCTACAAATTGTAAATGGCTTTTGATGAGCAAAAGCAGGTCTGCTTGACAGAAGATGAGAAAACAGTCTTTCTGCTCTGGGTAAGTCAGGGCATGACAGATGGAGAGTGGCCCAGCAATAACACTGCTGCTTCTAGTAAAGTCTGGTCACTGAGGACCCACACCACACACTCATGATGGATATGCCAGCAGGGAACTAATTTGTTGTTTACAGCTGATAATCTAATACTTTTAGAATATCTGTAGTTGGCTTTCAATAGATAGACATCTAAGAATCCTCAACTGCAGAAAAATATTACTATTATAATTTATATGCAAAATGAAACTGACAATTGTCTAGAATTATTAAGAAAAATGCCTAAATACTTGAAATGCCTGGAGGAAAAAGTCGGCACAGTCTGCTATGTGGCTACCCAGGGCTGAATGGGCCTAGCCATGCTTCTGTACTACCCTGCATACCAACATACTCCAGGGATTACTCACTGTGAGAGTTTTCCCACATCTTCAATATGGAGCAGCCCTTTTTCCTAAGATACATCTAGATCAGTGGTTCTTACTTGGGGGTGATTTGCCCCTCAGGGATCTTTTGGCAACATGGCGAGATACTTTTAGTTGTCATAACTGAAGGGATGCTACTAACATCTGGTGGGTAGAGGCCAGGGATGCTGCTAAACATCTTATGATACATAAGATAGACCCAACTCCGGCAAAGATTTATCTGGTCCAAAATGTCAATAGCGCCAAGGTTGAGGAAAACGCGATCTAGATACTAGCAAATTTCCAAAACTGAGTTAACACAGAAATGAACATGATTTATTTGTCAGAAGGGAAGAATATCAAGTGTCCCTGGAACACTCATATGTTTGGAAATGTCAACTTCAGCACGTTGTCCAAGGCCACAAAGGGAAACCATTTGAGTGATGTTTACTAACCTCTGAAACCAATGGCTCCTCCAGTGATGCAGCCACTAATGACACTGTTCTTCCAATCTGATTTTCCCCGGTACTGCGGGTGGAGAAGTGCAGTTTAGAGCCAAAGAAACATGCCAAACAGGATGATTAAGGAAAAATACACAGGGTTTCTAGTTAGCTAATTTAGTCCCTTCTCAAAGGAAACCTAATATTTTCCAAAACTATAGTTCCTAAAATTCGAATGCATTCACAGATACTACCTGCAGGTGGCACCAGAGCGCTGAAACCAAGTCCAGCACTGGAGTAACCAAAATTTCTGCTAGGGCTCTCCATTAAGTCTCATGTTTAAAATCATTAACTAACTTTGCCTACAAAAAGTTAAGAAATAATGCAAGCCTATATTAGAAACACACAAAAAGTTTACATCAGGGACTGTTTTATCAACATTCAATCTAGAACATATCTGATGTTTCTGATATGCTTTCTAATATCATTAGGAGCACTTCTGTTTAAAAGTCATGAGATGGCAGCAGGCAAAGATTTCTCAGAAGGCAGAGACACTTACAGATTCTACCAAACACTCAGTACAAGAAAACATGGCGCCCACAATGGCAAAATTTTTGGCGTAGGACATTCCTCTCTGCCCCATGTCTTTAAGAACTTCTTTTGCAGTCGGCGTACGGTAAGGATCCTTAGGGTCAAAGCCTACGTTGGTATCAATGCCAGCAGTAAACACCCCAAATGCACCTCCCAAGACAAATCCTAGAAGCAAACAAAGAGATGAAGATTTCTTTGACATGTTTCCTGGATTACTGCTTTGGGATCATGCTCGAAAGGATACTTTTGGGTGGCCACCAGTGCAGAGGACACCCCTCCCTTGCCACTCAAACTCTCCATTTGCCTGGTTTCCACATTACACAATCCAGGATCTGTCTTATCGACAGCATCTTTCCTGTCTCCTTTTGGATTTCTTCCTCCTTTCATTTCCCAACATTCTTCAAGATTCCATTTTTAACCCTCTGTTCTCTCTACACTTTCTCATATGTAAACCAGCCACCCTCAAATTCAGCTATCAACTTTGCAAAGCACTCCCTTGACCATGGTGACATTCATAATAGTCGTTTAGTAAGCACCATGTGCCAGATACTGTACGCTGGTGCTTCATAGTCACTGCCTCATTTATTCTTCACAATAATCGTGTGAGGTAGATGCTATTATTCTCTCCTTTCTATAGATGAAGAACCCAAGATTCAGAGAGGTTAAGTAACTTCTTGAGGGTCACAAAGCTACCAAATGGCAAATCCCACATTGCTGTCTACATCTGCCCTCCCCGAGCCTGCTGTAATTTCCATACAAATGCCCTCTCATCACCTCATGGTCAATACAAGTTCAATGAAATCATGGGCATCTCCTCTCCAGATTTTTCTTCTTATTTATGGCTCCTTCTTTCCTGTTACCCCAGCTCCAAACTTTATGAGCATTTCTGACTGTTTCTTTGCTTCCCTTTACAATTCATCATGAAAGATGGCAAAATCTTTTGCCTTAGTTTTTCAAATATGTCCATCCCTGTCTATGTCCACAATTACCATCCTACTCTCCAGCCTTTGTTACTTCAACCCTTGAGCACTACAAAGACTCCATTCATTATTTCAACAACTATATAAGTGATTTATTAGGGTTAGGCACAGTGATAAACAATGACCTAGTCCATGCCCACAGGAAGCTTCAGTCTAGCAAACTTCCAATATGGCTTTCCCATTCAGAGATTTTTCTTTCCTTCACCACACTCTATCTTGATTCATCATGTTCATTACCACTTGTTACTCTTCTAAAAAACAACATCAATTCCTGTCTAAGCAAAAAGCTCAAATCCCCCACTCCACCCCAATTTGAAATGACATTTCTCTTCTTTGTCTACCTGTATTTTCTCAATCCTTCAAGTGACAGCTCTACTCTCCCCTCTTGCATGGCCTTCCACAACCAAAAAATATCTCTTTCTTCTTTTTGCTATACTTTACTTTTTTTCATTTGCATTCTCACTTTTGTATATTCATTCCTTAAAAATCTTTTATTTTCAACAAGATTTATACTCATCCACAAATGTGGTTAACTCTTTTACCCTGCACACAGGAGGGACACTGTACATTCTCAAATTGTCAAAAGGTTTAAGAAAAAGAAAAAAGGCCAGGGGCCATGGCTCATGCCTGTAATCCCAGCACTTTGGGAAGCAGAGGTAAGAGGATCTCTTGAGGCCAGGGGTTTGAGAACAACCTGGGCAACATAACGAGACCGTGTCTCTGCCAAAAAGAAAAAGAATTAGCTGTGATGCGGTGGCAAGCACACCTGGAGTCCTACCTACTCAGGAGGCTGAGGCAGGGGGATCACTTGAGGCCAGGAGTTCAAGGTTGCAGTAAGCTATGGTCGTGCCACTGCACTTCAGCCTGGACAACAGAGTGAGACCCTGTCTCTAAAAAAAGAAAAAAAGAAAGGGGTCTGGGATAGGGGAAGGCCAAGTCCAGATGTCCAGACTTCATTCCCCCTCTTGCTGGCTGCTCTCTAGTCACAGTGACCTTTCCGCTTTTCAAGCCTCAAGGCAGCTGCTGCCTTAAGCACCTTTGAATTTGCAGTTTGCTATGTCTGCAGCACTATTCTGCGGGGTTCCCTCTCAACATTCTTCCCTACATAGTAAAATATTAGCTTTATGAGAACAAGACTCTTGTCTTTCACTCTGTATTCCCACCACCTCGTTGAATGAATAATTACTAAAAATGAATGAATGAATGAATGAAGTCAACCGTTTTACAACTTCTAGGCCCCAACCTTAGTACCGATTCTCTGATCCAATTTCCATACGCGAAAGCTGACCATAGGGACAGGAAAGGCATTGCACTGAACGAAGAGGAGGTGTAGTCAAGGTCGAGGCCCGCATGTCCCTCGCCTACCAGGCGCGTGGTCCTGGCAGAGAACCCCACTGCCGTCCAAGCCCTCAGCCTCCCAAGGGCCCCACTCGCCTCGCCTCACCTCCCACGCAGGCCAGGGCAGCCTTGAAAGCGCAGCTTTCCATCGCCTTCTCGATCATCTTCTGCTCCTCACTCTTGGCAGGGCTCGGGATCCCGCCCAGGCTCCCAGGCTCCAGGATCCGGGGCTGACGCTTGTCACCCACCAGGTATTGCAGAAGAAGGCTGTACTGCAGCGGGGCTTCGGTGGAACCCGTCGCCTCAGGCGCTGAGCTCCCGGCATTGGGGGCTGTCGCCGCCATGACAGTAGCTGCCCAAGCAAACTTCGCGTCCTTCTTCCTACAGCAGATTCCACAAGCTTCACATTGGGGCCCCGTGGGGGGGCTAGCCACAGTATCGCAACAGCAGATTCGCCACGGTGGGTATGCTGTGGAAGCAAAGTCGGTCTGTGCACACCTGCCGAGAAAGCTATCACGTTTCCTAAAAGTGTCTTGTGAAAACTGAATTCGATTTGTGTAGCTTTTCCCATGGCACAAACAAGGTTCAGATTCGTCAGAGAGCGGCTGCAGCGCGGTGCGTGCCGGGATTTATAGTTCTAACCCAAACATCCAACTACATTTCCCAGGAAGCCTTGCGCGTGCTCTCGCGCCTCGGCCTCATCTGGAGCGTTTGGGGCTCACAAAGGCGGGAGGCAGCGAGTGGCAGTGCACTCGCGCGGCTGCAGTACGCCGGGGCGCCGGCAGGGCGCGCGCGCGCCTCACCACTGCCCTTCCAGCCCGAAACTGTACCGAGGCGGGGAGCCTGGGTCCTACCTTCCTTGCCGGTGCTGTGGAGACAAACGTGAAAGCATGACGTAAGTGTATGCAATAAATGCTTCGTTGAACAAGTAAGCCTTTGAGGAGAGAGAAGGGCCCCACAAATGAGTGAACAAATGAGTGAAGCTCTCCAAGCGTAAGAAAAACCAGGGACGAGAGTGGGAAGTGGAGGTGGCTGTGGCCGGTACTCCCTCCAGCCACTTGTCGGCGGAACTAGTGATGTGGGACTCATATCACCATAAAAAGCCAAATATATATTAGGTTGAGCCAATTCGAGTGTTGACCAGCTTGCAAATTCAATACTTAAAAGGTAAACTGTGAGACGGTACTGTGTATGGACCCAGAAAAATTTTTGCAGTAGTTTTAATAATACTAAAATAGACCCCAAACTATTGTATTAGTTCAGACTAGCTGTTTATTGGGGTGTTTCAGTTAAGAGGACCATAAATGAAAACAGAAGGTGGTGAGGGTTCCCGTAAACACAGGCAGAGATGCTTCCCTGGTCTCCAAAGTTCTCTATGCTGCATAAAGGACATAGGCTTCACCCCGCTTCTGTTCCCACCGGCTGCTGCATGAGCTATTCCTAAGGTCCCTTCCTATGTGTAAAATCTTATTCACACCTCGTTGGCTACTCAGCTGCATTTTACAGTGTTGACTCCTCCCTCCTTTGAAGTTTTTTCACAGCTTCGGTGGAGCCCTTCTCTCCTAGTTCTGCTACAGCCTCCCCAGTTGCTCTTCTCAGACTTCTCTGCAGGCGCCTCTGCCTGCCCCTTTCCTGTTAGTCCTCTAAGGGCTGCATCCTCTAGGCTCTTCTCAGGCAGCTCACTCTACCTGGGCAGCCACATCCATGCTGTGGCTTTTACTACTACCTCTAATGTGGCAGTGACTCTTAAATCTTTATCTCCAGCTTAGACCTTCCTCATAAGCACAACATTCAGACATTTCCCATAGGCACCTCTAGCTCAACTCACCCTACCAACCACCCTGTCCTTCCAGATTAACAAGGGGCCCAGCACTCTGATTCATGCTGTGATCTTTTTTTTTTTTTTGAGACAGAATCTCACTCTTTGCCTGGGCTAGGGTGCCGTGGCATCAGCCTAGCTCACAGCAACCTCCGACTCCTGGGGTCAAGCGATTCTCCTGCCTCAGCCTCCCAAGTAGCTGGGACTACAGGCATGCACCACCATGCCCGGCTAATTTTTTGTATATATTTTTAATTGGCCAATTAATTTCTTTCTATTTATAGTAGAGACGGGGTCTCACTCTTGCTCATGCTGGTTTTGAACTCCTGACTTTGAGTGATCCTCCCGCCTCGGCCTCCCAGACACTCTGTGATCTTAAGAGCCAAGAGTGGGCCTAGACGTTGGGACAGGCTCCCAGGCTAGTCCCAGGTAAGGCAGCCTTGAGAGGCAAAGAATGGCCTAAACAACTAATCCCTGGGACCAGTTAGAAGACGATAACCAAACCCAAAATGAAGGGGCTACCTCAGAGTTCAGGAAGGATTCAAGCTACCAGCTAGAGAAACTCCCTGTGGCAAAAGTACATGGGAGGGGGAGCCTTTTATGGAACATCTTCCTTGGCCCAGACCATGAATGGGGAGGGAACAGACACTGATCTGGTGTCTCCCTGCCCCATCTCCTTCCATGGGTAGAATAGGTTTCACCTGATGGAAATCTTGACCCTCTTCAAGTATATTCTGAAAGTAAGAAGTGGTTTCCCATGTCTGTTTCCCTGGGCTGACCCTGTGCCAGACGTCTAGGGCCCTTATCTGGCCATGGCATCGTTGGGAATCCAGCAGCTCTCTTGTTACAGCTCAGTTCTCCACCCCAGGCTGTCTGCTCCGGCAACAAGGATACAGGATTGGAAGAGCATCTCAGTGGGTCAGAGAGGACAGAGAGGGGACAGTTAAAGATGAGGTAGAGTCACAGGGAGGGTTGTAGGAAGGGTCAGAAGGCTCTGAGTGCATGACCTATCCCTTGAAGGACTCTGGGTAGTGACAAAAATGGGTAATGTGCTGGATAGGGGAAAGGCCTGTGGGACCCCAGATGACCTGTAGTTCCCTCAGGTGCTTTCTGGCTGCTGTATGTCACTGGAGCCCCAGAGTGAAAGAAATAGCATGAGTGGGGATGGGATGAGGAAGCCCAAGTTGAGAAGTGCAGCATAGGGCCGGCAGGGTGTGGCGGCTCAGGCCTGTAATCCTAACACTCTGGGAGGCTGAGGCAGGAGGATCGCTTGATCCCAGGAGTTCAAGGCTATGGTGAGCTGTGACCACACCACTGCACTGCAGCCTGGGCAATAGAGCAAACCCCATCTCTTAAAAGAAAGGAAAGCTATTGGCTTTTTTGGCTATTAGCCAAAAAAGCCAATAGCATAATAGGTACGACAGAGAGTTGAGAAAGTTGTGACAGGAAGTGAGGCGCCCACGTTTGAAGAGTCTCTGGGGCCCCAGGGAAGAAATGGGTGGGACCTGAGGAGCCCTCCTGTAAGGCAGTGTTGACATACTTTGGGGACACCTTGCGCTGGGCTCAGGATGGAATACTCTGCCCAGTAGAAATGGGGACCAGATGGTCACACATGTATATGTGAGGGGCTGGAGTGGCTCTTAGCCTTTCTCTCTGAAGTCCTTTCCCCACAAGAGAATATTTGTTGTCCCAAATAGGAGTCACAGATGAGATAGGGCTTGACACTGCTGATTGCAGAAGATGGAATGAAAGTAGAGGATGTGAGGCATCCAGCCACAGGAATCGTGGGGTCCCATGGGCCACAGGTGATGAATAGCACCCACCAGGCTCTGGACAAGGTCCCTGCCACAGCTCTGAGACGCTGTCGGTCACTCCCCTCCATCTCCTCAGTGAAGGTCACTTATCGGCATAATCTATTCTTATTCAAGAGAGGGTGTCTTGGCCCTGGTAGGGGGCTGGGCTTGCTGGACCAAGGAAGGCTCAGTCTACACAGCTGCCCAATGCCACCACTCTACATCAGTGCTTCTCAACCCTTCGAGAGCATCAGAAGCTCCTGGAGGGGCTGTTAAACTCCTGAGTGCTGTGTGCAGAGTTAGTTTATGAATCTGTAAAGCTGGGGTGGGCAGAAAAATTTGCAGTTCCCAGGTGCTGCTGCCACTGCTGCTGTCTGGGGACTGGTTTTGAGGACCACAGTCTATATTATTGTCCATGGTTACCTCACTTTGTAAGTAGATTCACAGGACTCAGAGCTCCATTGAGTTGGGGACAGCTACTCATTTCACTGATGTCTAGAGTGCATGATGAGGCCAGGGTCCCTCAGGAGGGTTTCCCTGTGATGACAGGAAAGGTAGCGGACTGTGTTTCATTTCTATCCTTAAAGCAAGTTTGACTTGCTCAAAGGGCTGGAGTACAGGGATCTGGGCCAGTTTGTTGTGGGAAAAAAGTCACCAGTTCCTACCTGGGCACTCGTTTGGCACTGAAGTGAGAAGTTCATCTACATAGGTCCTGCAGTAGTGCCCCCAAAGCCCCGATGGCCACCTCCTGCCACAGGGGACTGACATATAGTTTGATTCTCAGCAGGCCTTGGGAGCACTCGCCCAGGGGAAGACCTAGACAGAGGCAGACCCTCTTCCCTCTGCCTTGCCGTCTAGGCACAAAGCCATCAGCAGTTCCTCTTCCCACTCGCCACACTCCCCCATCCCAGAGCTTTCTGTGTCCTGGTGGTGTTTTCTCAGAGAGAAAGGCATGGAGGTCCCCCGGGTGGAGATGAAATTTCCTAGGCATGGTGCACAGCAGTCAGCTTCACTGTGCTGGGGCACAGGCCAGGCAAGTGGAGTTGGGTACTTTTTGTTTTAACTTCTTCAGCTCTCCACAGCTGAGTCTCCTGTCGCTCAAGAGCACCCCTGACCTGCAGGGAATGCTGGCAGATAGGCTTCCAGTCAGACAGTGAATAAGAGCCTGGCTGCACTGGACACCGCGGGCATCACTGTCTCATTGGCATGAGAAGAGTTTGTAGGATTTTGAGTAGCACCAGGACACCGGATGCTGAAGCCAACCTGGGTTTTAGGGGAAAACTCCCATCACTCCATCCCTCTGTCCCTCCATCCTGCCTCAAGAGAAGAGACCTCAAGCTGGGCTCTCTGAGGTCTGAGGAGGCAGCACCTGTGAGTGAGGGAGTTGGTGGGAAGTGTTCTGGACTGTGAACTTGGAACAAAAGGACTGAAGCCTCAAGCCCCAGTAGAGGAGGCCTTACTATTTCAAGGAAGAAATAGCCTGAACCCATTGGGGAGCAATCAGCAAGAAACTCAGACCCCCAAATCAGGCTCCCAAATGAGGTCAAAGGAAACAGATTTGAAAGGCAGGCTAGAAGGGACCTAAAGGGATGTGGCTTTTATTGTGCACCCACAGGTGGCAGCTGTTATGAGGTTACAGGGTTCAGGTAAATGAGAATTCATTTTGCTCCTGAAACCTACCCTCCCTGAATGTCTTATCTGGGCAAATGATGATTCCGGGCATTGCCACTGGTTTTCTTAGAGTCCTTGCTTCCTGCTCACCCACATACCTTCCAAATATCTTTCAAACCCATCGCTTCCCTTTTGTATGCATTGCCACTGCCTTTGTGTGGACTCTGTCATCTCTCAATTATCAGACTCTTAAACTATCCACAAGAATGCTCTTTCAAACACCCAACAATAATATAGCTCCTATAGACACACACACTGTTACTGAGAATCGCTTACTAGTAAACTTAATCCGGTTTTATGATTTCCAGGTTTTTGGAAAGAAAAACTTCCAAAGAGTTTCTTTTCGTGAGAACTTAAAGTTACGCGTGAATCGTTGGTAGCAAATGCTTAATTATTTCTAGAACTTCTGACTTTAACAGTTGCCTCACCCCCTATTAAAATATTTTAAAAACTATTTTTATTCCCCAAAGCATTCAACATAGGTTTATAGAAAGAAACCTTTTATACCTTAAATTTCATTGCCTTATAATGGGGGTGGGGAACCTG